CAGGAATGCGGGAACCAGCACGTTGATTTCCATTTCCCAAAAGGAAAACTCTCCTTTAAAGACGAGCACTCGTATTATTCCGAAGTCCCGCTGGAACACCGGAGCAGGGAGAAAGCAGCAGCAGAAAGTGCTGTTTCTACCGGAGGAACTGGGTCGGAGGAGCATTGCCTTGGAATATTGCTTGAGAGGGACGAAGGGAACGAGTCCGTGGTGGCTTCGGCTTTTCCGGAAGCTCCGTATCCGTCTTGCGACGTCGTCGTCACGGCAGAAGAAACCGTAACGCAAGGCCCGACGTGCGACAGCAGCGGCAACGCTTCCGAATTCCTCCCCGCGCGCAGCGGCGCCTATTCGGACACGGCGGAAAGCGAGAGCGACGCGGGCAGCGAGGAGAGCGATTCGGAAGACTCGGATTCTGATGACGGCGTGCCGCGGAAACGGCTCCAGTCCATCGTGGTGGTGCCCAAAAACTCCAGCATCGCGCTGGAGGAAAGCAGCCCGTGCTCGTCGCGGAGCAGCCAAGGCGCCAGGCGCTACTCCGACCACTGGGACGACGAGCGGCCGGAATCCAGCCGGCCCTACTACGAGGAGAGGCCGGAGAACCTGGCAGGTAAGAACGGGCCGCAGGTGGAGAGCAGATGTTCTCCGAGAGGGATGGACAAGAGTCCGGCTACGTCCACGGAGCCGAGCAGGAAGGAAGCGGAGGAGCCGGACGCGTCCCAGCCGCAGAGCGACGGCGTCGACAGCACGAGTCAGGCGGACCTGGCGGCGGATTCCAACGGAAAGCCCAACCCGGAGCAGAGGATGATCCTAAAGGAGCTGGTCGCTGTGGGTAGAGCAGTCGGCCGCCCGGAAGAGCAGGCGTTTTGTGTGCCCGAGAGTTTCGAAGGTCCTGATAAATCCCAAAACCAAACAAGCTCTTCCAAACCGGACAGTAGGCAAGGGAAGGGTGGGCCTAACCAGTCCTCGCACGGAGACTTTTCCCGGGTGGACGGTTTTCATCCGACGGAGGATTTGAGTGGTTTGGGCTGGGACTTTTCCCAGCCGGAGAAGCCCAGTAGCACCTACCAGCAGCCCGACAGCAGCTTTGGGGTCTACCCGGGCTATGTTTTCCAGCCCGGGTCGGGAGCGTACGGCGGCTCCCAGCCTTACTGGGAAGGCAACGGATATTGGGATGCCCGATCCGCGAGCCGGCCTTCCGGGATGAGCTACGAGCGAGCTCAAGGACAAGTGCCGGATTCCTTGACGGAGGATCACGAGGAGTACGAAGAGGACGAGCGCTGGGATGACGACTGCAAGCCCCATTTTCCCAGCCAGTCGAGCCAATTCCATGGGCCTGCAGAGCAGGAACAAGGTTCCGTGCAGGCCCACGAGATCAGCAGCAATTCCACCAAGGAGCCCGTCTCCGTCGGAGAGAAAAAGGAGGAGGTGAAAGTTGCGGAAAAGAACGACGCGAAGGAGCGAGGACCGCCCAAAAAGAGACGCCAAGAGGTGGAGAGCGACTCCGAGAGCGACGGGGACGCGCGCGAGAGGAAGAAGGTGAAGACGGAGGGGGAGCCCGCGGACTCGGCGCCGCAGGATTCCTCCATGGTCGGGCGGTTGTGCATCATGGAAGACTTCCGAGACCCGCAGCGCTGGAAGGAGTTCGCCAAGCAGGGAAAAATGCCCTGCTACTTCGACCTCATCGAGGAGAACGTCTACTTGACAGAAAGGTACCTGCTTTGTTTGGTTATTTACTATTTTTCTTACCTGTAGCATTTCTAGATATCCGCTTATATGTATCTATATTTTAATTTACTTTCAAATTGGCAATTAGTAGAGCAGTGAGGAGTGGGTATGGAAGACGGTTGCATTGCCAACATCTACCAAAGTTGTCCACAGAGGAGACACTACCCAACACGTGCTATAACCCCACCAAGTCTTGGCTCCCAGACACACAAAGAAGGCAGAAGTGAAAGAAGGGAGGGCGTGGGAAGGGCATTAGCCTTTTCCATGGGAATGTTGAACAGGATATGATCCTTTAGGGAAATAAAAACACTTCTTTTGAGCTTTGGAAATGGCTAGTGATTGCATTGCTTCAAAGTTCAAGCGTCTTCAGCCTTCCCCGAAACATCCCTCCCCTTTGGATGTTGGTCACGAGTCTTGCCCCCTTCCTCTGGATGCTCTAAGCTGCAGTGTTTTAGTTTCACTTGAAAATGGACAAAAATATTTTAAATTTAAGTGTGTTTTAAAGCATATTCTTGATGCAAAGCCTAAATGTAGGCCACTTACCACTGAGTTTGTGTTATAAACAAAACACCTTTTTCAAATTGTATGTGTGCCCAGTAAAGGGTTTATATGTTAATATTTTAGAAGATGTTAATATCTAAAAGATATTTTAGAAGATGTTCTCCTGGCTTGTGAACCAGAGAAAATAAGGGAACTATTACAGAATAGTTGAGATTGGAAAGGATTTTAGAGTTTGTCCCCATACGTTGTTATACCCTGATGTGGAATATAGAATACTGTGGAGTATAGTATACATAGAATAAAGTATTTCAAGAGAAGATAATGAAAAGTTTATCCTTTGGAATTGTTCATAGCTTGTACTGTGTGGTAAGAAACCCTCTCCCTGTAAAGTCAAGACTTTTCTGGAAGTTTGATTCTTTACTTACGTGACAAAATGAAGAGATTTGGATCCTTCCTTTGTGTGTGTCTGTGTACCTATGGTACCTGTATGTTGAAAGTAGAGTTGCGTTGTGTAGGCTGGGGAGATGGTGGGTGGAAAACGGGTCTTAGAAATCATCTCGTGCTGTTAGAAAGTTGTCACATCTCCAAACAAGCAGTCTCTCCACGGCTGCCCTTGGACCTTCTTGTGTGGCCATTCAAAAATTATCCGTCCGTTTGTAGGGACAAGCGGAATTTCCTCCAGTAACAGCAGGGGAAGATGGAGGGGTGTTGCTCTGTCACCTCCCGCCTAAACTGTAATCCCGTTTATGCTCCGTGTAGGAAGAAGAACAAGTCTCACCGGGATATCAAGCGGATGCTGTGTGAATGCCCTCCTCTTTCCAAGGAAGAGCGAGCCCAGGGGGAGGTGGCCTGTGGCGAAGACTGTCTCAACCGGCTGCTCATGATAGAGTGGTAAGTCCCACCTCACGACTGTGATTTGGGGGATGTCACTGCGTTCCTGGGCAGTGGCACCAAGTTGTGGTCACTGTTTTGTTTGTCTGGTGTGGGTCGATCTTCGGAGAGGTCAACGGATCCGCTCCCTGGCGGGAGCATTGGCACCGTTGGCACCTTCCATTGGTGCAAGACAAGGAATTACTTGGCAGCAGCTCTCCACTTTGTCTTCTGCTCTGCCCAGGCACTTGAGGCAGAGAAGAAACCATAGAAACATGAAGAGAAGAGGCCAAGTTGAGTCCCTTTTAGTCCCATGGCATGGGAGTATGGTGGCATTCAGACTGAGAGTGTTTTATCCTCTTTCCCAAAATAAATTGTCTGCATTTGCATGTTGACAGTCAGATGGTTATACTTTTTATAGCAAAACGTATTTGATGGTTTTACACTGAATTGATTATCATTTCTTTATCTCTGTTTCCCATCTGAGCTGTTACTGCTCTCGTCCTGCTGGGAGTTGATCTGTTCCCTCTCCTTCACTTAGTTCTTCCAGGTGCCCAAATGGCGACTACTGCTCCAACCGGCGCTTCCAGAAGAAACAGCACGCGGATGTCGAGGTGATCCTCACTGAGAAGAAAGGCTGGGGCCTCCGAGCTGCCAAAGATCTCCCATCGTAAGCGTTTGCTCTTCAGATTCCCTTCTCGTCGTGCTGTCGTACCCCCTCATGAGTGGAAAACAAGTTGCCGGCATTTTCTTCGTTTCATTGGCATGAGCAGATGAACTGACTTTTCTCCTGTTTTATGTGCTATCCTCATGCTCCTAGCTTAGTTGTCTGCACATACATCTCCACTGATTTTATATTAGATCTCCCACTCTGCTTTTACTGTGTTCCCATCTACTTTCAGGAGGGTTTGGCCAGTGGCCTTGGCTTAGCTTCAGCTTGGGCTTAATCTGCGTTTCCCTGTCGCGTTGCTCTGCTGAAACCAGGTTTTTGTGTTTCCTCCTTCCCTCTCCGTGAAATTTACCCTCTTGCGAGCCTTCCTCCTCCTCTAGTGAGGAAGAGCCCGTGGGGATCTTCTCCTCTTCCATGGTCTAGAAGCACAACCTCTACCTGGTAGCTTTACATCCCTAGTGCTTACAGCTTTGAGTCAGTTCTTGACCTGTCTCCATTTAGCCAAACCAACTTGTGCAAAAAATCAATAGGTTTATTAAACTATTCTGTCCTCACTTAATGCTTCTTCAAGCTCTTCAGGCTTGGCTCTATGCCTTCATGTAGCCTTTCTGCCCATAAAGGAGCTGGCTGGCCCAGACAGAAGAGTTGCCCCACTTTAGACCCTGCAGACCTCCTCCCAGCTTGGTGATAGGCTGGATGCCTGTTTTTTTGGGAGTTAGAGCTCTGTTCCAGAGCATGGGACATGCAGGACCCTGCGGATGAGCAGCAAGGAGGGCAGTGCTGGGTCTGCTCAGCCTCAAGCACCTGAAACTCCACGAGGCTTCAGACAATCTGCCTCAAATCTTACTGTACAAATACCAGGTGCAACTTGGGATTTTTTGCAGAGTTTCCTCAGAAACTCAGATTTTTTTTGCTTCCGTTGAAGACAAAAAGGTTCTGTTGAGTTTTTTGACGCTCCTTGGGGTAGGGTTGGAGGTGTTACGGCTGGGAAGCAGCACTGCTGGCCACAGAAGTGGCTGCTGCCCCGTATAGACTTGTCAAGCCCAGGTTTTTTTTCACGTTGTTGCTGGTTGTTGTGTTGACTGGCTGTGATTTTCTTGCTCGGAAAGGTGAAACTAAAGATTGAATTTGGCCCCTGTGTGTTGAGGGATTTGGATAGGGTTCCTTGCCAATGTGATGTGCAGCTGTGTGCCTGGTGCTGGCTGGAATACTGCTCATCTTTATACATGTCCCATTCCAAAAAATCTTTGGAAAAAGGTTTGGAGAGCAGCAGGAAGCTGCAGCTGGTTTTAGGAGAGGACCTGGCACAGGCTGCCCGGAGAGGCTGTGGAGGCTCCTGCTCTGGAGATCTCCAACCCGCCTGGATGCGCCCGGGTGCCCCGTGCTCTGGGTGTCCCTGCTGGAGCCGGGGCTGGACCGGGTCGTCCCCAACGGTTCCTGGTGACCTCAGCCCCTCTGTTGTCCCGGGGTTCCGTGGAGGGGCTCCCAGGCAACCGCTCCACTCGCGAGGGACTCGCTGCAGTGCAGGAGCTGCCCCCTCGCTGTGCCTGAGTGTTTGGGAGTTAGAAGTTCTTCTCTTGCATCTCCGGCCTCAGGTTTGTCTTTCCTGGGGTTAGAAAGGGGATTTTATCAACTCTTCGTTTTACCCATCAGATCAGCAAGATGCAGACGGGCTTCCTGCATCAGTTCCTGCATCCCGTGTCCTCTTCACGCTCCTTATTTTCATCCTCACGAGCCCACAACATCTCAGTTCTTTACAGAACAAACGCTGCTTGAAAGGAAGCTTTATCCTTGCGTCGGGGCCCTCCGCTGGTAGCTCCCTCCCCATGTGATAGTGTCAAAAAAGAAGTTAATTGCTGGAGATTAAAGTGGTTAAGGAATGCTGGGCCAAATATAAAAACCTGGGCTGTAACAAAAGGACTAAGAGGCTGCAAAACTGTTCTGAGAGCAGGTGTCAAAGCCAATAGTTTTCTCTTTTCTCGGGGTTTTCCGTGTGTTATTAAGTGGACTCAGTGCTCTCTCCCTTTCTTTTTTTCCCCTTTTCTGGCTGTGCAGGAACACGTTTGTGTTGGAGTATTGCGGAGAGGTGCTGGATCACAAGGAGTTCAAGGCCCGGGTGAAGGAGTATGCTCGGAACAAGAACATCCACTATTATTTTATGGCCTTGAAGAACGACGAGGTGAGCAGAGCCCGGAGGAGCTCAGCCCCAATGACCTGCAGTGCTGAAAGCCCCTTGCCCGCAAAGTGCCTTTTCTTCAGTCAAGTAAAATAGATTCTCCTGATTTTTTTTTTAAGTTGAGGAAAGGAAATTTAGGCTTTGTGTTGTCGCATCCCATGTTTTTTAACCCATTCCTTGTTTTCAGGCTGGTTGAACAGTCTCGTAGACGCTCAGCCGTGTCCCATTGCCTCAGAGCAGGTAGCCCAGTAGAGAGGAGATGGTGACAGTGTCCCCAGCGAGGGAAGGGATGGAGCAGGGGCCCAGCCCTGCCACGTGGCAGCAAAGCCACATCTGTGTCCCAGCTGCTTCACATTGAACTCGTCCTCCTTGGACACCAAAGAAAAGCAGAAAACGTATCCACAAGCGACCGAGTTTCCTTTCTGTGCCCCAAAACCATGTTAAATTTCCCTGGTGGAATTGCTATATGCAGTCTACTGCCATTGAAATATTTATATACCCAAAGGTCTTCATTATTTGTGTCTGCTTCAGCTATTTCACATCATCTGGATTCTGTAGCTGCAAATGCAGAGCTGCGCAGAGTTGCCCATCCTGAGCAGAGGGCCCTACCTCACGAATAAGCAGACATTTAATACCACTTTCTGCTTGATGGGATGGTGGGGGTTTTAGTATCTTTGCAGTAAAATCACTTAAAATACTCCAGGTGCTTTTGTTCTTTTCCCATTTTCCCCTGCCAGGAAGTGGTTTCTGCACTGTGGGATTGTTGTGCAATCACAAGGGGGAACAGGGAAATATTTTACTTGGTTGTGGAAGGGAGGGCAAAATGATCTTGGACACGATCTTTATCTGCGTGGCAGAAGTGTTCAGCTTCAGCCTATTCGTTGTATCAGGGGATTGAAAACTGCCATTAAAAAGTCAAGAATCACCAAATTGAGGAGCTTTATATTAACGTGGAACGAAAGTAGAGTCTGCATAATAGTTTCAGGGCATTGCCCTTATTTTGGGGCACTTTTACCACTGCAAAAGCCATTCTGTGCCAACCAAATAAAGCTGATAGCAGCAGATGGGCAGGGTGATAACCGTGGTCCCCATCACCTTGTCCCCACAAACCTAACGTGGGCACAGGGAGAGGCAGGCGAAGGAAGGCTGTTTTGCTCTATTTGCTCTTTCTTTTCTCTTTAGATAATAGATGCTACCCAGAAAGGAAACTGCTCTCGTTTTATGAACCACAGCTGTGAACCAAACTGCGAGACACAAAAGGTAAGGGCAGCATCAAAGCCCTGGCGGCTCCTTTCCACCGCCCTGCGACTTCACAAGCTCCCAGGGAAGAGCAGGGCTCCTTTATCTTTATCTCCTGCTTTTTCTTCCTCCCTTTCTTTTTTAAACTCATTAGTCAAATGTAAACACCTGCCTTTGAAAGGGGCAAGCGCTGGCCATTCCCTTTGCAAATTTTAGATTTGCCAGGGCTGCGTTTGGAGGGATGGGTGTTGGGCTTTTGCAGTAACTGTTGTTACCCTGTTTTAACTTGCTACAGTGGACTGTGAACGGGCAGCTCAGAGTTGGATTTTTCACCACCAAACTAGTCCCGTCGGGCTCAGAGCTGACGTTTGACTACCAGTTCCAGAGATACGGGTACGTTGTGCCGCTCGCCGCCGCGGCTGCTGCAAATGGGCTTTTGGAAGCTGCAAAACCAGGTGTTGGAAAACCTCAGCTAATGCTCAGCAGTTGCAAACAAGCTGGAATTCAGCTGTTAAAAACAAAATCCGTTTGGATAAAGTTTATTTCCTTTCTGACACAAAAGATTGGGAGAAGAGCTTTCTCTTGATTTTGCACATTTTCCCAGTTGCACTTTATGGGCTTTTTCTCCCACTTTTACCGTCCTCTCCCCCGTGGAAGTTTCCCAGATAATTACCTTGGCTGTTTCTTTCCTCTGTCTAATTATTAATGGCCCCAGCTCCTGGCTTTTGTAGTACCCTTAAGTTATACTCCCCCTTTCTTCCGTGCCCACCGGGGTTTTACAACTTTGCAAATAGTTGTGGAGCTGTAAAAACCTAGCAGGTAGCATGTGGTTTCTTCCTGTCTAACTGCAGCACCTGTGAGAGCTACAGTGGGGACTTTCTAGCTCTTAGTTTTTTGTTTTTCCTCAGCATTGGCCCCTTAGCTCTCCTTTCCAAGCTTAAGAGCGGAATATTTTCTATTCCTTCCCCTTGAGGTGTACAGTGAAGTATTTCCCTCTCTTTTTCATGCAATTAGCTCCAAATAGATTCTGACTGTCTGAAGCAACCTATAGTTGAATTCTAGAGCCAGTTTTATAATTATGAAGCATTTCTACTGAATAGCATTGTTTAATAAGTTCTTCTCTTTCCTTCTGGATCCTGCCCTCTCCAACAGCAGGGTTCTGTCTGCAAGCTGAAGAATCACAAATGCATTTTTAGCTGTGTTATAAAATTACCTGCCTTTACATGGCAGCTGCTCTCACGCAGCTTTATGTCACAAATATTAATCAGCCACTGACCTTTAAGATGTTATTTAGTTTTATTTTTAATAACTGAGGTGGCATCTGACTACTAAGTTCATTCCCTGGGTGGGAATCGTCTGCCTGAATTCGAGCAGCAAAACAGAAGCTGCCCCAAGCCCAGCAGCTTTTACTGGGTCCCTCTGCTCTTAACTGAGACCGAGGTCCCTCTGGAAGCAAGTTGTTCTATACACCCTATGCAATCTATACACGTAACTGCAGTCACCTCTAGGTTATTTGGCTCAGTCAAAATCCTGGGACTTTAGTATTAAGGGCCTGGTAGGAGCCTCTCTGATGGAGAATTTTTTTGTTATAGTAGTTCACTTAGATACCAGCTCGTGTTCAGTGAATATATTCCCCATCTCACTGGAGTTTTCCAGCTCTTAACTCTCTCCTGTTGTCCACTGCTGTATATCCATGCTAAAAAGCAAGTCTTCCAGCTCAATCTTTTGTTGCATCCATGGATCTGCACCACGTTGAGCAACACGGTGCAGCTCTTCCTCCAGGCGATCATTTAACCCTGGTTGTTTGTGCAATGCAGTTTTCCTCAGCAGGCGTTGGAGCAACGATGCTAACGGGAAGGAGGGAGGATAAGGGGTGCTTGTGCAATGTCATCTTTCCCCTGGCACCACCGTGATGCCCTGAAGAGATGAAACGACCTCCCCGTGGGTGCCATGGAGCTGGTACTAACGCGCTGTGTTTCTCGTGCCCGTGAACAGCAAGGAGGCTCAGAAGTGCTTCTGCGGCTCCGCCAACTGCCGCGGCTACCTCGGCGGGGAGAACCGGGTCAGCATCCGCGCGGCGGGAGGGAAGATGAAGAAGGAGCGCTCCCGCAAGAAGGACTCGGTGGGTGGCACCGGCCTGCGCCGGGGAGCGGCAACCAAGGTTGACCTGGGCCATTGTCCTCCTCCTACGAACCTCCAGGTCACCTTTGTAGAACCACCTCTGTGTAGGATCGGGATAGCAGCCTCAGAATCCATTCCCATGGCTGTATCTATATCATTTTACTTCTTATTGGCCCCAAACACGTGTTTTTGGAGTTTTAGTTAAACACATGTTTTCTTGCTCCAGATTACTGAATATGAATTGCCACCAGAGAGGTGTTTTTGCACTTACTGCACCCCTTGACCAGCGTCATGAATCCTGTAGCCTTTTCAGCTAAGGAAAAGCCCACTAAATTCTCCAATTTGTTAATTTTTTGATAGTTTTGTTTGATTTCTAAACTCCAGTGAACAGCAGGCAATGCAGGCTTTCCTTTTAGGACACAATCAAACGTTTGACAGTGCAAACGGGGCAGATGTTTGCCATCTTCCAGTCGGGATGTGAAATTTGAATCTCTAATTGCTCTGGCCTAGAGGCAAGGCAGCTCCAAGAAACTCGTACCAACATGTGTTGCATTTGCTTTTTGCCTTCAGTTTCGCTTGTCTTTGCAGATGGATGTGAATGAAATATGTAACATAAATCCAGACTTTTTTTTTAGTCTTTTTTACAGTTCTTCACCATTCCACATGGCTAGACAAACCTGCTCCCTACATTGCCTTGCAGTGGTGGATTTACAGACTAAACGCTGTAGGAAAGTTTCACAGGGTGCTGCTAAGAAATTGGATGAATTCTTTTGACTTCCTGAGAAATTGAGTTGTTCTCAGCGTGAAGTAGCAATTCCTAATTCTTCTTGCACACACTAATTGTGTCTGACCACTCAAAAATAGCCATTTTCAGCAAATTTCCTTAGATTTTTCTGTGTTATGACATGACACCAATAGGGACACACCTCTGGTTGTAAAGAATGTAAGTGGGAGTTGGGTATTTACAGAATCAACTTATTTTCTGTAGTTAAAACTGAGATAATCTGTTTCCCTACGTGGAAAGATAAATTTGTGACCGGGAGTATTTGCGACCGGGAGGATTTTGGTGCACACAGCTGGGATTTGCCCTGCAAAGCTCCCGGGATGAAAATGCACTTCAGAAACGTGCTGCTCATTAGGGGAAGTTTATGTTAGAGCTCGAGGACTCCCTTGTGTCAGCTGCTCGTCCATACCTTACCCTCCTGCAGATGTAAACGCAGCTAGTGTGAAAAATGCCCTTTTTTTTAAACCATATTTAAGCTCTAAACAATGTTGAAGATGAAAGAAAACCAAGCAAACCCAGTCAAATTAAAGCCAGACCTTTTTCCTTCCAGTATTTGAGACCTGTCCAAGGGAGGCTTGTTCTGCCTCCCAAAACCAGGCCACAAATTGTCTTTAACATCTTGTAGGGAGGCATTTTGTGAGCCTGGTGTGACCTGAAAACTGTCTTTTTTGCCGTGGTAGGTGGATGGGGAGCTGGAAGCGCTGCTGGAGAACGGCGAGGGCCTCTCGGATAAGAACCAGGTTCTCAGTTTATCCCGGTTGATGGTTCGGATCGAGACCCTGGAGCAGAAACTTACCTGCCTCAAACTCATACAGGTGAGGAGATCTCGGCTGCAGCGCGAGGGGATCTCTTGCTGTATAAACAGGAGCATTTAACCCTTGTTAGAAGAAGAGGGAGAAACAGCTTAAAGGTTGGATGGTCGTGCCTGCACCCCGAGCACGAGATGAATCACGGCAGGGAAACTTGCAGTTCTGCCTGGTTTATAGTCCCCGTGTGATCCCGGCCCTTTACTTGGTCTGAATTTGGTGGAACAAACGTGCCTAAATGATCCTTTCCCCAAGAGTCTCCAGAGGTCCCTTCCAACCTCAACTGTTCTGTGAGGAGCAGGAAGGGGTTGAAATGAGAGTGATTTTGTTCCCTCCGGATAGGCTGAGCTGCTCAGAGCTTCCCCGAAGGAACCCACAAAGCCCATGTTTGTCATCTTCACCCCATAGCCAGCTGATCTCCAAGATTATCCTGATTTTTTTCCCTTTGACTCCGTGCAGAGCAGTTGCAGCCAATTTCCCATGCAGTCCATTCCCTCTATGAGTTTTATCCACCAGGTAGGCTTGCAACCCCTCTGCTCTGAAAACAGCCATTATATCCACCAAAATCATGTGAAACATGCTTATTTTGGCAGATACCTGGCTCTGGCTCTTTATTTCATGTGTTTTTTTAGTAACAGTGAATTGTATGGGTAATATCTACGGGTATATGCCCGGTGTGGTAGTTAGCCATGTCGGTGTGCAGAAACCAAAGCTTTTTTTGCCTGTTCCCATGGACTTTCTGTACTTTTGGCCTCCCTAGAACACGCACTCGCAGACCTGCCTGAAGTCCTTCCTCGAGTGTCACGGCTTGTCCCTCCTCTGGATTTGGATGACGGAGCTGGGCGACGGGAGGGGAAGCACGGCCAACAACCTGAAGCTGCAGCTGGAGGTCAGCAATTCCCTCGAGGATGGCCGGGATCCCTGTTTGCATGTGGGAAGCTTTTGAAGCAGCTTTGCTAATTGCTCACAGGAAGCATGTTGATTTTATTTCGTGTATTTTTTCTTTATTTTATCCCCTTTGGGTATAACTATTACGTCACACGTCGGTGAAAATAAGCTGCAGGTACCGCCGGAGTCACAGTCTGAAATTCCTGCTTGAAGGGAGGTTCTAACTACATGGAAAGCATTTGCCTTTGTGGTTTGTCTTAGATTTCTGGGTTAGTGACACGAGCCAGACTTATAGAAAGATCATTGCTGCCTGTTGGGGACCGCGCTGCCTAGGGAACTGCAGCTTTTGCTTTTACAATCTCGAGCAGAACTTGAATTTCTCTTTTCTGCACGTGCATTGTGTGCAAACATCATCTGGGGGTCCCTTTATTAAAGCCACTTCTCCAAGAGCTTGGCTCTGTGCTGGAGAGACTCTGGCAGCCCTTAATGCCAAACAGGGGAGCAGAAGCTGCAAGAGCTTCAGCCTTCAGGTGTCTCTTCTCCTCTTGACTTGGGTTGTGTCTTTCCAAGTGGTGACAGTGACAGGTTTTTTCCAAGCTGTGCTGGATTCAACAACTTCGGTTGTGCTCATCCCTCCCATCCCCATGTGGGAAGCTGCTGTGATAGCGGTGGCTTTGTCTCCACTCCAGCCTCTGCCTTTTCTTTTTTTTTCTTCGTATTTTGTATTTTATTTTTATTTATTTATTTTTAAGCCGTCACTGGTGTAGGAGAATTGGTCTTTGGCCATCCGATGCCTGTCATAGAATTTAGTGTTATGTTGCTAAAACACCTGCTGTCCCCCAGTCCTCGACGACTCGTTTGAAAAATGCACGGAGTGACTATTTCCTCTATCCATGAACGTGCAAATCATAGTGCAAAATCAAACCTAACTCTCTTTCAAGCATCATGATAGAGTCTAGAATCCTCCTTACTGAGTCTAGGATCCTCCTTACCGCTTTTTATTTTTTCTTAGGAATTCTCTGTTGCTAGCTTAAGAAAAACAGCTAAAATATGCTGGATTTTGGCGTAGTGTATGATTTTTATTTTATTTTTTTTAATGCAGTGGCCTATTAAACCCCGAGTGTATGATCATGGGAGCTGCGATGGCTCTGCGTGTCCGAGGCCGGGGCGCTGCTCCCGGCCGGAGCCGCGCTCGGATTCTAACCGTTCCCCTTTTGCCTTTGCAAGCAGATCATGAAGACGCTCGAGCTGCTGCCCATCCCCACCAAGAACATGCTGGAGGAGAGCAAAGTGCTGCCCATCATCCAGCGCTGGGCGCAGACCAAGGCGGCCGTGCCGCCGCTCAGCGAGGGCGACGGCTACTCGAGCGAGAACACGTCGCGCGCCCACACGCCGCTCAACACGCCCGACCTGTCGGCCAAGGCGAGCGCCGAGGCCGACGCGGACACCCCCAAGAAGCTGGTGTTCCGCAGGCTCAAGATCATCAGCGAGAACAGCATGGACAGCGCCATCTCGGACACGACCAGCGAGCTGGAAGGCAAGGAGGGCAAGGAGGAGCTGGAGCAGCTGGAGGGCGCCGCCGCGGAGGGCTCCGAGGAGCAGCCCCAGCAGCCCGAGCCCAAGGCGGCCGCGGAGGCCGCGGTGGAGAGCAGCAAGTCGCAAGCGCTGGAGCTGGAGGCCGAGCCCGACGCGGAGGCCAAGGAGAGCAACGGGGCCAAGCTGGAGGAGCCCATCACCATGGAGACGCCGTCCCAGGACGAGGAAGAAGGCGTCTCCGACGTGGAGAGCGAGAGGAGCCAGGAGCAGACGGACAAGATGGTGGACGTGAGCGACCTGGCCACGCGGCTGCTCGACGTGTGGAAGGACCTCAAGGTAAGAGGTGCCCTGCGCCGCCTCCGCGCTCGCGCCGCAGTCCCAAACCATCCGGCTCGTTGTCCTCTTGCCAGATCCTTGACCACTCAGGCTGCCTTTCGCACCCAAAGGGCTTCTCCAGGTGCTCTCCATCTCTACCCTTCCGTTGCCAACGGCCCTGTCTGCTGCTTTGTTGGGTGCTGGTGTGTGGCACACTGAAAGCAGCAGGTTGGTCGCTTTGGCCAGCACAAAGTCAACTTAGTCATCCTGTTTTCAGTGGTACTTCGCGTTGGCCACCACAAAGTCAACTTAGTCATCCTGTTTTCAGTGGTTGAGGTTCGTCTCTCAACCTCTATGAAAATAAGAAGGTAGCGGCAATGTGGCAAGCGGTTCTGGTCGAGCATCTGTCAGTGCTGAAACAAAGTGCCCGACCATCTACTCTTAATTCACTCTTAATTCTACTCTTAAATTCACTTATCACGGGATTATCGGGCTTTCCTGAACATCAGCTTTTCACCACAGTGTGCCCAAACACTGGCAGTTCAGCAGTCTCTCCATATTACTCCATATTACTTTTTGTGCTGGATTAACCTGTTTTTGCAATCTGTGTGATTGGGTAAACATCCAGATTTGTGGATATGAATCCAAACCTTTAAAGATACCTTTAAAAATAGCTAGACCCTTTAAAGATGCCTTCAAAGACAGCTGGATGTGGCTTCATGTTTCGCTTCCATCAAGGTCTTTCTAGAGCTGATAACTTCTTTAGGAGAAGGATTTGGTGGTGCCGAGTCCACCAGACCTCACCTGCATCTGTAAACATTCGCATTCATAAAACAAAACTGCTTATTTATTAGTATTTAAATTAAAGCAATGTAGTTTATGCGAGACTTGGGAGAATCCTTGCTTTTCTCTCTGAATTTTTCAGAAGAATCTGATGCCCTTGAGCATTTGTTTAACCATAATCATTCGTGCCTTAAAATGTTAGTGGGAGGAGAGGTGGGACGTCGCCATGCAAGCAGTGAACTGAAATATGGTACTAAATAGAGCGTTAGGTCGTGCTCCTTGGTCTTGCCTCCATCCCTTTACTAAGCACACCTGTAATATGTCAGTTATTAGGTTTTAATTTGAAGCCTTTTGGAATTTGTGTGGGCCTGCGGATTTTTCATGGATTTACGGGACACTGTCAGGTTGAGTTTATGGTTAAATGGGATCAGGTTGAATTTATGGTTAAATGGAAGGAGAGGCCTTTTCCATACCCTGCTAACCCTAGGATGGTTTGAACTGGAAGCTAAACTAATTCTTCACCCTACACCCCCTTTAAGTTGTATTTATGTTGCTCTGCACGGGTCACTCTTCTGTGTGTAGCTAGATGCTTTTGCTTTCAGGATCCCATGTTGCGTTGTTTAAACTCCAAAAGAGAGTAGGAAAAACAAAACCAGAAATGTTCCGTCACCAAAAATGTGAAGTTTTGAGAAACTCGTGCAGCTTTCCTAAAATTTGGGGACTTTTCCACCAAATTTGACCTGCCAGTGTCGTGTTAGCGCTAAGTGTCGCCTCCCAGAGCAGCTGGGTGTTCCCTGGGCTCCGCTTTGGGTGCTGCAGGGTGGCTCTGGGGTCATTGCGCGTCCCCAGCTGCCACCAGGATGTGGTGGCTCCCGTCCCTGTGTCACCCCGTGTCACCTCCTGTGTCGGGAAGGACTCCGGTACCGGCCTGCAGTGCGGTTCTGCTCTCGGGGACACGGGTGTTTATCCCAAGCCAAATATCTTGGGATAACATCTGATGTCTGTGGTGGTGGCAGCAGAGACAACCCCGCGGTTCTGCCATCAGGGCTGGGAAAAGGTGTTTTTCCCTTTTGCAAAGTGGCCGTGGGGCTCCTGTGACCCGTGGCTGCAATGTGTCCTGCGCCTCCTCGAGTTAACTGCTGCTGTCCGACTTTTCACCTCTTAAGAAGCTGCTTTAGGGGTTCATTTACCCCTGTTTTCTAAATAAAGCCGTGGGAGGACTCAAGTCACCCAAGCGGGAAGAGAACAAGGTGCTTTTTCCCAGCACTTCCAAGCTTTCCAGCCGCCGGGCCCTGGCTGGAACATCCAAACATCCCTCCAAAACCGCGGCTGTCGGACGGGAGGGTCTCAGGACGCCTGTCCCCCCAAATCTTGCTGATGCCCCCTGGTAATTGCAGCCGTTTCCACGCAGCTTCTCAGGGCAGCAAGGAGCTTGTTAAAGTCACCCGCTCGGCGCGTCGCT